GACTGGGGTAATTGGGATGGGAGTGTCAGAGACAGTGCGATTGGCACAGGACAGAGCGGAGTTTAGGGCTGTTGTACATAGGGTCACTATGAGTCGCAAGTGACTTGACAACACATAACAACAACAACAACATATATTTTTCACAGCATATTCTTTCCATTTAATTTCCCCCCATTCATTCATTATTGCATATTTTCCTCCCTGGCCACCCGTTCCCTAGTTCATTTCTTTGAAGAAAAAAAATATTTCATTGTTATACAATCACCTTTTGAGTACACAGTCCACTTTAATACGCATTTCTTTTTCTGTAATCCTGTCATGAAAATAATACCTGATCCTATATTCCTTCTAAACAGTTCTCTCCCTCATCTGTTTCAATGCAGTATGCAGTATTTATCCCCTCTTTTCTTAGGTTCCCCCAGTCCTGATGTCAGTCCCATTTTACAAAAGTAGCACTATGCAGTATTTGTCCTTTTGTGACTGAGATATTTCATTCAGTAAAATGCCCTCCAGGGTCACCCATTTTGTATACTATTTCATGAGTTCCTTGTTTTTCAATGCTGCATAGTATTCCATTGTGTGAGCATACCATAGCTTCTCTATCCATTTGTTTGTTGATGGGAACTTGGGTTGTTTCCAACTCTTTGCTATTGTGAACAAAGATGCAATAAACATGGTTGTGCATTAATCTGCTTGGGTGGCAGTTATGGTTTCTTTAGGGTAAATTTCCAGTAGTGGAATTGCTGGGTCAAATATCATTTCTATTTCCAACTTTTTGAGAAAGCGCCATACTGCCTTCTGTAGTGGTGGTTGCAGCATTTTACACTTCCACCAACAGTGAATAAGCGTTCCAGTTTCTCTGCAACCTCACCAGCATTTGTTGCTTGCTGTTCTGTTAAATTTTGCTGTTCTTACTGGGGTAAGATGATATCTCATAGTTGTTTTGAGAACACTAAAACTCTTTAAATATCTCTGTTTTCAACTTCCTTGCGAAAAACTCTAAAAATAAAATAAGCTTAGTGTTTTATTTTGTGTTACACTTATCCAAAATATAAATTTTTATCTTGTGGCATCAGGATTGGTGGAAGGTCTATTAACAATCTCCGTTATGCAGATGACACAACCCTGCTTG